TTGTAATCCAGGATCCAAGATATAAAAAGGCTTCAAAGCAATGAAAAAAACAGACTTTAAAAACCATAAAACTGTATCTTTTAAGACACTGTAGTGATCACAAATCTGTCCTATTCAGGGCATTGTTCCTCAGCAACTACAAAACTGCCCTTTTCAGGACAACACTCTTCAGCAACTAGAAAATTGTTCTTTTCAGGAAAATGCTTTGCAGCGACTACAATACTGTCCTTTTCAGAACAACACTCTTCAGCTACTAGAAAACTGTCTTTTTCAGGACAGTGCTCCTCAGCAACTACAAAACTGTCCTTTTCAGGACAATGCTCTTCAGCAACTACTATCTTTTCAGCAGCTACTATCCTTTTGTAAATAATAGTTTAGTAGACTATTATTTTTAGGAGGAAGTGTATCTCAGCTCCAACTTCTGGAGGTTGACCTTTGGAGTCAGATGTAAGACATAATAAGGAAGTTGATTTTGATTGGCTGAGCTAGCGTGGGAATGATAGATAGAGAAAGGTTTTTCTGTAATTTGTTTCTTGGCTGTCAAGTGATGTAGATGTATTATCTTTCATGTCTAAAATTGCTCTCCAGTGAGGCGGAACAACCGCCACTGGATAGTTAGTACATGTTGACATTAATAAAATAGTTAAATTAACATTCTTTGTGTTGATGGCTTTCATCTCTGGACCCCAAAACATCTAGCGATCACCGACTGAGAGAGAAGATGCAACATTTTATCAAATTGTCACCATTGTCCAGCACCTCCCAGCATGAGGGGGCCATGCAACACAGACTGCCTGACCCAGTGATTGAACTATAGATTACCCAGATTGATATACACTTGAGGAAGGCACAACAGCCAAAACGTTATGATAACAACAACAAAGATGAGGATAGTTGTCCAAATATAAATAGTGTAAATAAGGATAACTTCTCACCCCAGAAATTCAGAGAAAAAAAACAAACATTATGAAGGTTGTTGATGAAAATTAAGAACATCACCAGGTCCAAGGGTAGCAACCTGTTATGTTTTTCCATCAGTGTTTACCTATTGTCAATCAACTTATGGTTCTTTGGCTGTTGCATTTTGTCTTTTTCTGATAATTTGTATTGCATCATTCTTTATTTCTGCCTCACCTAAACCTATTTGCTATCATTTTTGTCTCCAATATTTAAAGTTCATTATCCCAGTCATTTTTCACACAAACTTATCCCTTTCATCAGAACTGGTGCAAGGGTCTCATCTCCCCCCCCTCCATTCTATGATACAGGTCCCCCCATTCTACTACATTGCAATTGTCATAAGGTAGTATTCATATAAAATACAGATTTTATTGTAACCTAATTATGTACAATAATAGACCATATCCAAGTGAACAATTCAATGAAAAATTAGAGACATGTCATAATAGATCATTCCATCTTAAATAAGAGACATGTCATAATAAATCATTCCATCTTAAATAAATCAACAATGTTTTGCAGCAATTTTTAGCATCAACTTGAGATTTTTCTTGTTAAAAAGTTGAATAATTTATCACATTCAACATTATGGATAAAATGTAGTGAATTTTATAAAAGTGTATTTTTGAGACTTAGTATGAGTAAAACTAATTCACGGATTTGGATGAAATATAAAAATAACTCTAGAATGAGATTAAAATCTGCAAAGTTTTTCATCCTTTAATAGATGTGATTAGTTTAATTTGTAACATAGATAAATGTAAGTAGAATAAAACAAATGTTGATAAGATAGCAAGGGTCAGAAAGCACTGCCTGGGGCCCCCAATCATGCTTGAAAGTTGGGGGGTTCATGAGTAGTTTTGTTCCTACTGGATATTTATTCAATTGTATGTTGCTCTACTCTTAGTTGGTGTTCTTTCAATTCAATCTTCTTTGTTAGTTCCTGGATTTCATTTGACAGTGTCATTCAGTTTTAGTCTGATAGTTCCTCTTCTGTTGAGATCTTAATTTATTTCTTTTTCTATTGAAAACATCCACAACAGCCAAAAATCCAGGTTCCACCATCCATGTGGGATGGAAAGAAATGATGCTTGCTTCTACATGTTGAATATTTGGATGTGAGTCTTTTATCAATATGTAGGCAAAGACACCTTCTTTGTCAACTTTTCTTCTCAGTTTTGCATTCTCTTTCAAGTCCAGCAACATTTCAGCCAACTCAATATTTTCATCTCCTGGCTCATAATTTTCTACATCTAATAAATATATGTGATAAAAAATAAAATAAATACAACACTGCATAATAACTACGTAATTTTGAAATTTTCAAATATAATGGACATGTGTGTAATTAAACAAAATATTATATTTTTTAATTCTTCAAAGTATGAATAATTTAGATATATTTTTGTTAAATGGCTACAATTTTTTTTATGGCTACAAATTCTCTGTGGCCCACTAGAAATGCTACGTGGACCACTAGAAATGCTATATGGACCACCAGTGGTCCACCTGGACCACATTGAGAAACAGAGTCTGTAACCTACAGTTAAATGGCAAAGGAAGATGAGCTTTTATATCAGAAATTCACTTTGTGTCATGGCCTCCAAAACATATTTCAAGTTTATCTGTTAAGGAGTGATGACTTCTTATTGTTTGGCAGAAAATGTCTGAATACTTTGAATCTTAGCCTGAAAAACACAATTTTGAGTTTAACTGTTAAAAAGAGATGTTATAAAAATAATTCACAAATATGAATAGAAGTCAAGTGTAAAATATAAAAACGAGGATACAGAGAAACCTTGGTTCTCAAATGTCTCACATGTCAAATAAATCTGTTTTCGAACAGAAAATTCAAGATGAAAATGCCTTGGTTATTGAACAAAATTTTGGTTCTCAAACAACATTGCTGAACCAAGCTGAATTGAGTTAACCCAAACGGAATCATTTCTGAGTCAACTGCTGTGTTGTATATATTCATGTGTTATGCTGGGCTTTTCTTTCTTTTCTATTTTTATTGTACAATGCCATTTTTTTATTAGACCTTATTCATGGCTCCAAAGAAAACTAGCAGTGATACTGTTAAAGGGAAAAAGAAAAGTTGAGAGAAAAACAATTGTTGATGATATTGCCTCTTCCTACTCAGTTTAGTATGGCAAAATCAACGATACTATACTATTCTTATAAATAAAGAGATGATTATGTCTTTCCTTCCCTTTTCCAAACAATAACATCTCTTTCCTTCCTCTTCCACTTACACCATCAACTCTCCTACATACATGTACAGTAAAATTGAAGTGTTCATCTATATTTTATCTGTTTAGTATTGGGTTTATTTATTTTTTCTTAGATTTAATGATTTTCATTAGTTTTGTGTATAAACTTGTGCACAAAGTACTGTTGTAAAAGTTTAAATAAGCATTCATCTTGAGATCAGGAATGGATTAATTCATTTTACATTGATACCTATTGGAGAAATAACTTCAGTTAACGATCATTTCAGGTTACGAACAGGTTTCAGGAATTAATTAAATTTGTGAACCGAGGTTCCACAGTATATTAAAAAACAAAAGGAAAAATACAGCAAAATGAAAGACCACTGTAGTAAAAACAGAACCAGTGAATAAACTTATACCAAAGCTTTATTGCTCTTTACTCTGACTACTTGTCTACTGATGGACATAACAGGATGCTTTTTATACCTCCTAAATATTAAGGGAAGGTAACTGATGATTTATCATTACAACTACATGTTCCATGTATAAAGTTGAAATGTTTATTTACTGTATTAAGAAAATATTAAAGAAAAAAAGAAAGATGTAAAAGAAGAATTGCTCTCAAAGTTCAAAAAAGCCTCACCACTTTTTGGGGGTTAATGAGATAAAGTAATAAAAAGGTAAGTAATATATAAAGGTTCTACAAATCATTCTCTGTGAATGTGTGGGTGTGTGTGTGTATAATGAATAATAAAAAAAGTTAAGCACTATTATAAAATAACCAGAAAACTGCATTTGGGCCCACTATTATTTCCTTTAGTAGCCCCTAGTATAATTGAAATATAATCATTACCGTCCACTCGACTGTTAGAATAACACAATATGTCTACCTATAATGTACCACTGATGAGTATATATAGTCATGCCAAAACACAATACACACGGCTTGACAATTACGCATGAAGCAGATTGTCACCAATGGGTGTTGACTTCAATATCCACTTTTATATTTACATTTGCTCTATTCCTAATATTGAGCACTTTAACCTATAAATATAGCATACCTTAAAACTATTGGCATAAATCATAAATGCTACTTGTATGTATGTATGTATGTATGTATGTATGTATGTATGTATGTATGTATGTATACGTGCATGTACCATACTTGAGGGTTGCCTAAGTGTGAAACTAGCATTTATTATTTATTTTGACATTTTCTCCATATCATTGTTATTACTTATCTCTCTCTCTCTCTCTCTACACACACACACACACACATATATGATTTTATATATATACAATCTAATATCCATACAATTTAATTAACATGTTAGCTCTATCACAGATACTGAACACTTTCCACTAAGTACTGCACATATATATATATATATATATATATATATATATATATATATATATATATATATGTATTTCTTTCTAAAGAATTAATGTGTTTATTTTTAAGCTGGGATTTTTATTACTTTGAGTGTTATTTTTAGTGGATACCTGTGTTTGAAATAGACAACCTGTTTTTTTTTATTATGTCTACCAGTCTTTTTGATGTACTCTCATAACAGGTGTATGTGTATATTAATAAATTTACATTTTTTCCCTCACCAGCAGCATATTATAATTAATATCAACTATAGTTCTGTTATTTTACATCAACCAATATTTTATTAGCATCAACACTCAATTATATATTGATATATGTATGTGTGATTAATGAAATAAGAAAATCAAAATTGAAAAGAACTTAAAAAGTTAATTTGCAATAATGGGAAAAGAATTCACTGATTAATTTGACATCTGCTTGGAAATGAATCATGAATATTTAGCTAATGTTGCCATTATCCAGGGTTTCAGCTGTGCTACATCTGTGTAGACCCTTGGATTATTGAGCCTTATGCAAACTTTACCATAGGAGGTTATTCCAATCAATGTGTGCACACCTGAAAAAGTGAGAATAAATCAATTTTTAAAAATGATTATAAAATTGATGACCTTTTAGTCATTTAGTAGATTTAATCATATAATCATTAAGTGGTTTTAGTAGATTTAGTCAATTAGTTGATTTAATCATTTAGTGGATTTAGTAGATTTAGTTGACTTAGTCATTTAGCAGATTTAATAATTTAGCAGATTTAGTGGATTTAGTAGATTTAGTCATTTAGTAAATTTAATCATTTAGTAGATTTAATCATTTAGTAGATTTAGTCAATTAGTTGATTTAATCATTCAGTGGATTTAGTTGATTTAGTCATTTAGAGGATTTAGTAGATTTAGTCGATTTAGTCATTTAGCAGATTTAATAATTTAGTGGATTTAGTAGATTTAGTCATTTATGTATGCCTAATGATTTTGCTATAGAAATTTATGACAAGGATTGATATTCTTAAGTTTCCTATTGAGAATTGTGTCACAGAGGTTTTTTCTTGGTTTAAAGCCATCATCGATGCTTTCGTACCTTCTCAGAAATACCAGGTGAAACAACAATTTTCTCTATGGCTCACTTCTTATAATAATCAAGTGCCATGGATGATGCAGTCTGTCTTAGAAAAGAGCAGGAAGTAAATTACAACAGTGTATTTTCTTTTTGCAAGATGACATCATTTTCCTATACAAAATATTTACTTTTTGCTTGCATGACAATGTATGAATGTTTCCACAAATGTTTCTGCCTTATATCTAGAACTATGTTTTATGCCCATTTAAATCTCTTTTATATTTTTACACATATTTATATTTATTAAATATTCTGTTTTACCTTTGAGATGATTTTTATGAAAATAACACCAGTTTAAACATGCAACAAAAACTTTTAATATTCATCAAGTTTTTATGAAAAAAACCTGACATTGTTCCAATGGGCTTAGGGCAGAAAGATAAATTGTATGAGACTGGCCACTGAAAAGTTGAGACTGCATAAGACATGCTAAACACAACAACTATTTTTCTTTAAACTATGGATTCAAGTTGCACAAACTGTGTCATCAATTTTATCCCGAGAAGGCCATCCTTTCATGTACCTTTCAAGAAAATTGTTGGCAGTAGAATTAATTTATTCAAATATTAAAAAAAGAGGCATTGGCCATTGTCTGGAGCACAGACAGAGCTTGGCAATTCTTATTAAGGAAGAAGTTCCTATTAAAGTTGGGCCATAAACCTCTAGAGCAGGTGGGGGGGGTCTAATTTTTTTTCAAAGAGAGCCAGATTTGATGAGGTAAATCTGTGTGAAGGTCAACCATTCTGCTTGACATTCTTTAAACCATTAAAATTAAATGCAAATGAACTATCTTCTAAAAATTTTATTGCAATGTCATATTTTCATTTTTTCACATGGATGACAAATAAATTTAAACATGTCTTACCAACATCACTCAGCCTGTCATATCTGAAGCTCATATAAGTAAAGTAAAATATGTCTGCGAAAAAAGAACTTCCAGCAAACTATATCTCAGGTTAATCTTAAACATTACATATTGGTAAATAATGTTGTCTGTCAACTTTTAAGTTAAAAACCTATGAATAGGAACATAACACCAACATTCATCTTATTAAGAAGTAGAAAACAAAGTGACACAAGTTCAAGTGACCAAATATACTTATAATTGATTTTGACCAACACAAAACAAATTTAATTCACTAAAATTTTAGAATTTATTCATCTCAGATGACAAAAACAAATAACTTACCTGCCTGAATATGAAGGGTGAGACTGAGATCTGGACTGCAGTATGTAAGCCAGGTCTGATTCAAAGGCAATGATTTTAGAAATTGGATGGAAAAGGTCAGGGTCACACTGCCAGAGCATGGCCACACATTGCTGCTATCATATTTTGGTAAAACATGAAATTGCATTACTTAGGTGTCTATTTTACATACTCTGACTGACAATACTAGCAGGCCGTTAAGTGATACATTCTATGACAGAGGATGGGAGCCATATGAAAGACTTTGGACATTTTTGGAATTTAATTTGAGAACAACAATTTCACAAGTTCACATTCTTGCTATTTTTTCTATCCTCACTCCAACCTCTTTTTAATTTCAAAACCGGCTCCCAAGGCCTTGATTCTTATCAGAGATAAGAATTTATTTTCTGGCTAACAAGAGAGCTGGAAAATATAAGAAGGAATTCCACCACCATTATTCTTTCCATGGTGCCATAAAGTCTGGGAGAAACCTCAGAGCTTTTTCACTTCAACCTGTCTTCAGTACCTTCGAAACCGGCTCCCAAGGCCCTGATTCTTATCAGAGATAAGAATGTGTTTTCTGACCAAGAGAGGGGCCAGGAAATTTGTACAACGATTTTGGAGGGAAAAGTCCGCGATCCATTGGAGCCTACCAAAACTCCATAAATTTGGAGAATCTTGCCTATTTCGACAGTGAGGTCGACATTAGGAAGCTCCAGCACCTCTTTCACCAAAGAAGAACTACTAAAAAGGGCTGTCAAAAACGAATGTCGGTCCACTATTCAAGACCAATCCAAAGCTGCATGCTCCTTCTGACAAACCCACTGAACTTCTGTCGTCGACCTAAAATCTCACTCAGTTGCAGGATTCCTTCATCTACAAACAAATTTCCAACTCTACAAGAACTGTGAGTGTATCTATCAGAATGTTAACAATAACATCTAATTGCTTAAAGAACTCTTTAGGTGCTCAGAGAAATATTTTGAGCAAGACTTTTTTAAGTTAAGAACATTTTTCCTTTTCCCTTTTTTTCTCTCCTAATTGTCCTTTCATCCCTTTAGCTTTTTTTTGTATGTTGTAAATAAACACTTTCTTTTGTTGTTACTCCCCGAGCAGGAGTTTTTTCTTAATTCGTACGCACCTAAAAAAGAGAGTTTGTCCACTCTAATCTTGCTTTGACGCAATTTTTTAAACTTCAACCCTATTTTTAACCTCAACCCTTTTATGCGGGAAAGCCAGGACAAATTTCCTAGCAACATGCCTGCTCTAGAGTTTATCTTTAACCCTAGAAAGGAATTACCAAAAGTTGCTTCATCCAGGATTCTAAGATGGGACATAAAATTAATGGTTTATGATTTTGACATTGAGTATGTAAAAGGAAATACAATATCACATGTCAATGTACTGTCAAGGTTACAATTTAATATGGACCAAAAAGAAAAAAAATGGAAATCCTGAATGAAGAAATATTACATTGGGTTGAAACTGATATATTATCTCCATAAAGATTGGTATTGGAAACTCTACAAAATCCAAGATCAGCAAGATTACTGAAAGAATAGGAAGAAACAGGTGGAGTAATTGTTCTAAATCTGAAAGACCTTATAAAGAAATAAGACATAAATTAATGACAGAAAATGATGTTAAATACAATGGAGATGTAATAGTACCACCAGAAACAGTAAAAAGAGATATTTTAAAAAGTGTACATGATTATGTGCATTGTGGAATATAACAGCTATGCAGAGGAGATTATAATGGTGGTTAGGGTATTAGTGTGATATAGAAAGATATGTACATAATTTTCAACAAAGGAGACTACACTCATAGCCTAAAGAAACGTAACTATGGTCACTTGTTCATATGAATCATGCATATATTAATGGCATGGGACTATTTCTAATTTTAGTACACTCCTTTTTAGGATGGTCTGAAGTCATTCAAATTAAAGATAAAAAAATAACTACAATAAAACAAATACTAAGAGTGGTATTTTCTGGAAATGTGGTCCCTAAAACATTGGTATCAGATAATACATCAGAATTTTGTGATAAAGATCTATGTAACTGGTTGAGTTGGACTGACTGCTTCCCTTATAAAACATCAATGTATCAACCACAATCTAATGGGATTGTGGAAAGAATGGTGCAATCAGTAAAAGGATTATCCGAAGTAGAGATACTATGGACAGTTACTTACCAAAGTTACTGCTTAGTTATAGGATGCTTCCACATGCAGACAGATTGCAAAATCCCTCTACATTAATGGGTAGAAAAATAAGATCTTCATTAATGATTTCTTATTTGACAAATGAAAGGATGTAGCATAAGAAAGTAGCAAGTCCTGAGAGATCTAATTTCATCATTCAAAGGGGACATAACACAGCCATTACATCAAAGAAACAAAAAGGCTTAATGGCCCATTCTGACCAATTAAAACCCAGAATCGAAGAGGAAGACATTGTGATGGAAGAAAACCCTGACAGAGAAGAAAGGGTGAGTTCTTCAGATCAGGACAATGCAATAGAAAACAAGCCTATGGATGATAGCAGGAATGACTCAGATACAGAAGATGAAGTGAGACCAAGATCTCCATTAAAAAGAACAGGACATAAGCCTCAAGTGGGAAAAAGGTTGTAGAAGAAATTTGAGAATAACCAAAGATATTAAACCTCTTCACTTCAGGGTGGTGTAGATGATTGGTAAATAATATTGTACCTATTTGCATATGCTAAGTAGAGGATATACAAAGTGCATAGTAAACTAAGAGAGAGGCTGTAAGTTGAATAATGACCACATGTTGTAGAACAACACGATACAAGTGCCTAGTTTAGAGATGATAAAAAGAACAATCATTTGAATGTATGCCATAATATGAACAAACAAGCTCAAATTGACCTATAGTCTCTTTCTCAAAGTTTGAGTTAAATAAAATTTTAGGTACATGAATGTTTTTCAAGAAAATACAAAAGGTGTTATACACACACAGACATTATATTTGTAAGTATTTAGGTAAGTACAAATAAGTATAAATTAAAACCTACCGTTAATGCTGCAGACTAAGGGTTCACCAATGTCACCTTTGCATATATCAATACCTCCTTTAATATAACCAGCACAAAACATTCTTGGAGTGATGCCTTTGTCAATGGTTGCACAAAGATGGCGATGTAACAGAGGAATACGTGCTGCTTTCAGCATGGAAGGATAAACTGCAAAGAGAATTTCAGAAGATATACCAAGACATACAAAATGCTGAGAATATCCTAATTAGACAGTTTTTACTAAGCTAAAGCATTATTCACTTAGATGAAAAAATGTAAATAATGAAAAGAGTTATAAAAATTCTAGGGTACTTCTGTTTCATTTCCATGCTGACCCTGAGAATTTCTACTGCAGATTAGTAACTCAAGATGAAACCTGGATTCACCACTTCGAACCTGAATCAAAGATTCAAAGCATACAGTGGAAATGCTCTGATTCTCCACCCGCTAAGAAGTTCAAGCAGACAGCATCTGTTGGAAAGGTGATGGCTTCTGTTTTTTTTTATTCTTAAGGTGTAATCATGATAGATGACCTGGAAAAGGGAAAAACTATTAATGAACAGTACTATGCATTGGAATTAAGACAACTGAAGGAAACAATCAAGTCAAAATGCAGAGGGAAGCTGAAGGCAGATGGTTCTCTTTCTCCATGATAATGCACCCATTCACACTGCTCAGATTGCAGTATCTGAAGCAGCCAATTGTGTCTTTGAATTGCTACCACTATCACCATTTTTCACCAGACTTAGCTCCATCTAACATCTTCCTGTTTCTTAAACTCAAATCCCACCTGTGCAGTCACTATTTTGGGAACAATGATTTGATCATATGTGCTGTAGAGGATTTTTTTGGGGGTACAGGATGCCACCTTCTTCCATGATGAGATTGCAAACACTGTTGGACCAAGTGCATTGATGTCAAGGGGCACTATATTAAAATATAGTGAAAAACTGTTGTTTCTACAACTCCTTCTTGGTGAGACTTAGAACTTTTTGAATAACCCTTGTAGAACTACAGTGATCCCTCACTAATTTGTGGTTCTACTTTCGCGGATTTTTAAAATATTTATATGGAAAATATATCGCAGAGTTTCTGGAAAATTCTAGAAAAATTGCGATATATGAACACCTAAAATTTCCTATTAAATCCATTAAAATATTTGTAATAAATATTATTTCCTAGTCTAGGAACAAGACAACAAGCGTAAAATAGCAAAAAAAAAACATATGCAGGGGTATTTGAACTCGTAACTCACATGACCAAAAAAAAAAAAAGAAGAAAAATGAACCATCTGGTATGCGATGTGCATACAGTACCCACGTATCCTGTTGTTGAGAAAACGCAAAGCATATCATCTTGGTGACGAAGTGCATTGTAAGATGGCTGTGATTGGTGCAATGGAGAGGGTCGACGAATATCAGCTTTCTATTTTGTAATCTAGCCTGAGATTGGTGCTTTGACCAATGCTCAGATCCACAGCATCTTCCCTTGTCTCTCTTTCATAGCCATTTCGCTTCATTTCGAGCGGTTTACTGTACTAATTTATGCAGTGCTGTGTGCGATTTTTTTTTTTTTTTTGCGTTTTCATCCCCTGCAATAGCTCCCAAGCGTGCTGCTTCTTTCAAGGCTGGTACTGAGCCTAAACGCAAACGAAGAATGATAACGATCGCTGGGAAGATGAAACTTCTGGATATATTGAAGGAAGGGAGAACTTTTGCTGCCGTAGCCCGCCATTTTAGCATGAACGAATCCACCGATCGCTACATCAAGAAGGACAAAGCTAACATTAGGAAGATGGCTGCCATCACCTTTAATAAGTCGGCAAAGAGAGTAGTTATGGCTTGTAATACAACTATCATTTGTATGGAACCTTCTTTGGCTGTATGGATAGCCAACTGCCGAAAGAAGAACATAGCCTTAGATGCGAATATCATCCAAACAAAGGCTAGGAACCTGTACAAGATTTTCGCCGCCAAGGAACCTGAGGACGACAGTGGTGACCACGAAGAAGAGGAAGAAAATGAAGACAACATAGAAGATTTTGGAAAAGAATGCCATCGAGAACTTTCCTGTGCAATAAGGAAGCAAAAACCTCTGGCTTTAAAGCATACAAGGAATCATGTGACCCTCATGATGTGTGGCAATGCTGCAGGATTTTTGTTAAAGTCAGGACTTATTTACAAGTCTAAAAACCCAAGGGCTTTAAAAAACAAAAACAAGAATCTGCTACCCGTACAATGGATGCACAATCCAAAGGCGTGGATAACAAAGATGATGACCTTTGACTGGTTCCACGAGTGTTTTATCCAGCAAGTCAAGGTGTATCTATTAGAGAAGGGCTTGCCATTTGAAATCCTTCTCCTTATGTATAACGCTGGTGGCCATGCTACTGATCTGTGGCATGAGGGAATTCACACTGAGTTCCTGCCACCCAACACTATTCACTTATTCAGCCAATAGACCAGGGGGTTATCAGGGAGTTCAAGGCCCTATACACGAGGAATGTCCTGGCAAACCTGGTTGCTTCTGTGGATGCTGCACAAGAAGAGAAAGACAAAAATTTTAACTTGAAGGCATACTTGTGGCAGTACACAATTGCTACGTGCCTCCAAAATATCCAGAAGGCACTGCAAGAAATGAAGCCTGCCACCATTAACGCAAACTGGAAGAATTTGTTGCCCGATGTTATTTGCGATGACAAGGGATTTACACCTGCCGAAATCCAACACTCCACAATACAGAAAGCTTTGCAGTTGGCTGTGATCATTGGAGGTGACAGCTTTGCCGACATGACCATGGGAGACATCAACAAGTTATTAGACTGCCGCTAACAGACGCAGACATCGAAGACTTGACAAAGTCGACCAGCGAAGAAGAAGAAACGCAGCAAGAAACAGAAGTGTTATTGCTTAACTATTGTCCTTATTATTAATAGAGTACTGTAATGGGTGGGTTGTTAACAGTACAGGGAGGGTTTTAAAAGTCCAAATACATGTTAAATAAATACTGTATATATGGCGTCTCTACTTCGCAGAAATTCAGTTATTGCAGTCAGTCTCAGAACCAATCTACCGCGATAAATGAGCGATCACTGTATAGGATTTGATGAAAATTAGTTAGTTTTAAAAATATTACTTTTTATTTAAAACAGTGAAAAAAATACATTTGTTTACAGTGACTGTTTTTTATCAATCATTTCAAAGTTCAAGTGGGTATTGGGTCAGCTTTTCTTAGCCATATGTGATGAATGTCTACTTAAATTTATGAAAATGCTGAACTATGGATGAACTAAAATGACAAAAATAATTAAAAAAGTTGAAATTCCTTGGACACATAATGAGAGACCTTGGAAAAATTAACCCTCACAAGGCATACTGAAGGCAAGAGTGATAGGGAAAAGCAGTGAGTCGCCTGATGAGTTTGTTTGATTGGATAGTGGAACAAGGTTAGGGGCCTTAGCAAACAGAGAAAAACTGCTAAGAGCTACAAGGGATAAGAAGTTTTGGCAAGCCACGATCATCCATGTCCTGAATGGGAATAGTATAAAAAAGATAAATGTGTAGTTAAATTTATGGAAGAACTGAAGTATGGATGGCCTAAAAGGACAAAACCTAACATCACCCTCCCATCGTCATATGATGGGCAACATGCAAGAAAACCTCATGAAATAAAAATACTAAATAAAATGTTTCCTTACTTTCACCTGTGCTACTCCAACCAGATATTTCACAAAGTGTTCCTGCAGATATACTCAGATTTTGAGGTGGAAGACAGACTGGTTGAACATAATCATTGAAAACTATTCCATTTCCATTGCTCTCTGGTCGCAGCTTGATGAGTCCAATGTCATAATCATGGGTGAGACCTGCAAATGATAATTATCACAACAGTCATAATCATAACAAAATTATCATAGTCATAATCATAATAGCTATAAAAGTAACATGCCTGACATTCTTCTCAGTTTGGTTCATGCTCATAGTCACACTATTAGCATTTTAGTGCTTTTTTCTTTATCATGTCTATAATTTGGGGTTGATTTTCTTTCCTTATTGAATTTTTCAATCAACTCTTCTTGTATAAATTTAATACATGCCTCTAATGACATTTGAAACAATTGCAGCCGTTCTAATATTTTAAAGTATTGTACTAACTACTTTCAATTTTAGTTTAATTCCTCTCAAATAGACATTTCTTGTTCTAAACATAAAATTCACAATATCTACTGGTGCCTTGTAGCCATTGCAGAAATTTCATAATGGGTTCATCGCATTCATTTCTAATGACAAGAACTTGGTTTGTTCGGCAATGGCCAACCTTTTCCTTGGTCGAATATTCCTTAGAATAATCTCTTTGATTTGATTAAATGTCAATTCTTTCACCTCTGTTGGATAAATCATCAAGAAAATCTTCCTAATAACTTCAAACTTCTGTTAACAGAAATAAATCTGTTATTTAATTTTCAACTCTATTTATTTTGTCGTCCCATAGTTTCTTTGTTCGAGCAAGAGCTGCAAATCATCTTATCCAAGTTTCAACAATATCTAAGTCTTCTACATGCAACAAAGATCCTATCGACAATGCTATATTGTTATGATATTTGAAGTAGGGATTGTAATTGTATGCAGTCAGTTTTGGTTCTACAGATCAAGTACCATTGCCACTACCTTACATAATGTCTACTCATGCACATATGCTAATTAGTGGTAGCACTAACCATTCACTACTACAGTTTCTTTTTCATCCTGTTGAGAATTTCATTTGTCATCCATTCCTTTTTTCTTTGTCTAGTTTTCTTTGGGATAATCTCAGTTGCTGATGTTACTAATGCTTCTCTTAATGCATCCCACTTCAAATTTCCATTTTCATTTTGTCCACTGTGTCTGCTTTTTTTAAAACTGTCCATATATTTCTCCTGCACATTCAGGAGTCTGTCATATTACAATTTTAAGGCTGTCTTGGTCTTCTTCAATTTCTGTAGTTTCATTCTAAGTTTGCATATCAGTGAAATGCAGTCACTCCCACAGTTAGCATTTAGATATTTTTTGCAGCGTAAAAATCCATTTCTGAATCTCTTATTGATAGTTATATAGTCAGTATGTTTTTTGTTTTGTTTTTCCTCCTGGGTTTCTCCATTTCCATAAATGGCTTGGGTGTTCTTGAAGCCAGGTATTGTCTACAACCTGATCATTTGCCATACACCAATTTTTCTCCTCATTCATTATGAGTTCCTAGTTCAAATTGGGTATTCAGGTCTTCCAAGAGAGTTGTAGTTTCTTGTGATTTGCATTGAACCTTTCTAGCATACAGTAAAACTTATCAATTTCTTCTTCTGTACTTTGTGCTGTTGGTATATATATACAACAATGATGTATATATTAAATGGTTTCCCTTTAAGTCTAGCTACAAGAATTTAATTCTTTCTGATAGTAGCATTCCAGAACACATGTCTTGGTCGAAAATCAGTACTATTCCTCTCTCATGTTTCGCCCCACCTGTATATATGAAAATGTCACTGACAAAATCTCCTTTCTTGCCCACCTCATTTTGCATATGCTTATGTTATACTCTGTTGCAATTAGATCTCTTTCTGATTCATTCTGCATCCCATTTTGATGCAAACTCCATGAAGGCAGAGAGCAAAAATATATAAAAGTCATTCTCTGCATATAGGCTCTAAGCATCACATCTGATTACTGAAGCAAACTTCCACAATTAAAGTGTCACTGGTCAATCGTGAACAGCAGGTCTATTGGACCAAAGGCAGTTGTGATCCAGCAGGTAGCCTGCTGACATGCAGGGCACCGGTGCTACTGCCACCAAGATGACCACTCTTTACAATGTCTGTTACCACTCCCAGGCTTGACTAACACCTGACTCTTCACATGTAGAATCCCAAATATCATCTCAATGTCATCTCCACCCAGCTATAAGCCTTCCTCACATTGGAAAACATGACTCATTACAGCAACTGACTATCCAGCTTTGACATTACCAGGCCCAAGACATCAACTGTCATGATTGATAAAATTGCAATATCAACACCACCCAGCTACAAGCCTTCCTCATTTTTAATGCCATCACCTCACTATAGCAGCCAACTATCCAGCCTCAATACTGTCAAACCCAAGATGCCAACCATTGTGATTGATAACATCTCAACATCAACACCACCCAGTTACAAGTCTTCCTCATTGTCATCACCATCACCTCAACAAACCCAACTCACTACAGCAACTCCACATGCAAGTTACTCTGCAACCAAGGGATTCTACGACCAAGCGACTCTGACTCCACAAACAAGTGTCTCTAACTTTGCAAGCATGCAACTGTTTGATGGAACACCAGTCAACTAGCTACACCAACCTCGTCAACCCACTGCTGTAACCTCAGCATACCCAACTTTCTACAGGCATTTCCTTTGCAGTTGTCACCATGGATCTGTTTCAAAACAGGCCTATCAGCCATGCCAATCCAACGTTACCTTGAAAACCAATTAATCAACCCACTTCCATGACCTCAATCAACCAACACTTGTGAACAACCATATTCTGTGACCTTGGTCAAACCCATACAAGAAATAGGCCAACTCCTGGTATAAACCCTTACACCTGATTGACATCCTGACAATCAGCAATAGAAACTGACATTTCACTGATTTTCTGACAACTCTGTAAGACACCCTATATATTAAACAAATACACATTGTTCAAAAACCTAATCCTCAGTATTCCTTTCTTCTCACAACCAAACACTTATTATAATACATATAATATTAATATTTAACTTATTCATTCCCTGCTTTACATTTTCTAACTGGTTACACTGATTTAGTGTTTTGACCTAAGAACTATTTTTGGTGTGTTTGCTCACAAAAAAAATCATTCATTACAATGTGTGTCATGATTTTAAGGAACAAGTTTTTAGAACAAGCAGTCTTTGTAATTATTACAGTACACAATGTTTAAAGATCAAACAGTAATTGCAATAAATGAAATTAAATGTTGACTTGCCTTTACTGAGTTTCAAGGAAATTACATCCACTTTTCAGGAGACTTAATTCTAAAGTAGAACTTATTTTCCAGAATCATATGGATGTAAAAGTTTTTTGAAATAAATTGTTAATTTGGTGAAGAGTTCTAGCTATTTATAGCTTATTAAGTATTAGAGATATTTAACTTATTTAAAATCATGGTATATTTGAGGTAAGTATAATTAGCATTTATATTAGTTTTTTTTAATGTTTGCAAGCAAATTTGTCAATTTTCAAGATGGCTGATAAAAAAAAAATTAAAAGAGTGTGTGAGGTTGTGTTTTCTTTTGTCTGATAAAACTTTTGTAATGTTTCCAAGAAACTTTTAAAAGATGCCTTCAGTGAAACAAAAGTATGCAAGTGGAAGTCATATTTCAAACATGGTGAAATGTCACTTGAACATCAAGAATGATCTGGTTGAGCTTCTATAAAACAAAATGGAAAATGTTTACTATGAATTGTTGGATCACTGATGAAATATCTGAAATGGTTGGGTTTTTTTTTCACATTGCTAGGGTATAAAAACAAATTTTGTGATAAAATATGTTTCTACAAAATTCCTGCTTTTGTTTGCTCACAGGATGAAAAAAAAATCAATTCAATAAAATATGTGTCATGATTCAAAGGAACAAGTTCAAAATGATTCTGGTTTCTTTTTAAAATTTGTGTCAAAGATAAATAGCTTGTTATTTGAGGCTTACCCTCTTGTAAATATTGTTTTATGAAGAGTTATTAGATTAACAATATTAAATATCATAATAATGAAAGACTTACTATTATACAAGGGATGTGTGATCAAATGCTCTGCTTGAAATGACTGCTCATGTGTGTCCCAAATTTTGCTGTTTAGATCTCCTGTCTGAAGCAACAGACTTTCTTTCTTCATAATTTTTCTGCAAATAATAAATATAAATTTGAAATACAATTCTGCTTAAAAGTGTTCAACAATTTTGAAATCTAAAGAAAATATATACAGCACATGTGAATTAACTATGTAAAAATAGAATAATAGTCATTAGAGTCATTAAACACTTCTGAAAAAGACATGTGGATAAAGAAAGAAGGAACATTTGACATTAGAATGGGAAGCTTTGATGGTTTAGAAACCTGTGAGCTTATAGGTATTCATTTTTTACATGAACTAAGTAAAATAATTGATAAAAAACATATAGGCTTTTACAGTGATAATTGTCTCATAATCCTAAGAAACTGTAACAGACAAAAAACAGACAAAACCAGAAAAATAATCATAAAATATTTTTAGAATATGGAATTCAACAGACACAAAAACTAATCTAAAAGAAGATAACCTAGATGTCACATTCAACTTAAGAAAAGATACATATCAACTATGTAGAAAACCCAATGACAAACCACTTTACATGCACACATTTTCCAACTACCCTCCAATAATATTCAAGCAGATCCTACAATCAATTAACCATAGGTTATTTAACAATTCTTCCAGTGAAAGCATCTTCAATGAAATCAAAAAGATTATGAAACAGCCCTAAAAGATAGTGGATTTTCAGCAGCACTCATATATATACCACACAGTACAAAAAAAAGCCATCAGGAAAAGAAATACAATATGGTTTAACCCACCATACAACAAAAATGTAAAAATAAACATAGAAAAAATATTCACTACACTCAAACACAAATACTCATAAACAAATTAACAAACCACGAATACACACATAAATACAAGTAAATGTTATAATATACAACAACAAATAATTAATCTTACTTATTATAAAACGCAGATTGTGTGTGTGTGTCTGTACGTTTATATATTGGATTGAATTTCTTACATTTTTCAACTGATTTCAACAAAACTTCACAGGACTGCATAAAATTACCTTGCAGTGGTTCTGACAGTGCCAAAAATTGGAAAAACACAATTGTTTTTGCACAAAATCAATTTGAAAACACGATAAAACACGATTCTGTCGCCAGAATGAAAGGAGGACAATTCATATTGAGTTATACTTATTATAAAACCCAGGTTGTTTGTGTGTGTGTGTGTTCATTTATATATGGGATTGGATTTCCTACATTTTTCAACCGATTTCAACAAAACTTCACTTTTTTTTTTTGGAAGGTAGTGTTTCTTATTGTCTTGCGCACTTTTTTCTTTATTTTTACATTCAGAATGCTTTAAAAATTCCTTTTACAAGACAATTGCTTATAATAAAATTCTATTCAACCGGTAGACTCATAATGATTGAAAACAATGTTTTTGTTTGAGTTTGGGTTTGACCAATTCGTAAAAAAAAAAAAACAAACAAAACACAAAAAAGCTAATTAAGACATTCGTGTCCGTCAACCTTAAACAACAATCTTATTTTATTTTTCAGTCTTTATGATGGTCAATACTTGATCTATCTCTTACTGTTACATCCCCGGGCAACGCCGGGTTCTACTGCTAGTCAATAATAAAAGAATAGCTGAAAATGTTCAGACATACAGAACATTCAGACAATTTCTACATAATTTATGTTCAGAAAAGAAGAAAATTTTATCTTGCCTTTTTATTCTTCAAATTTTATTAACCTGTCGATTAAATCTACACACACACATGTATATATATATATATATATATATATATATATATATATATATTTATATAAACAAATTTTAAAAATATCAACTGACCCTAAAATTTATCCATAGCTGCTGCCAACCAAGTTTTAATATCTAAGCCCACCTTAATGCTTATCCAAAACTAAGAGGAGATCAAGACAAGATATACCAATCTTCCCTGCTATATATCCACAGCTGTTGGCAGAAATGTATTCATGTCTGCTTGCTAATCAAGATTCAATACCTAAATCTACCTTAATGTTTACAAGGTCTAATCAAAAAGTATCAAGACTAATAGTACTGGAGATCAAGTTGACAAGATATACCTTTCCCTTTGATGATAATATATCCTTTATTTATAGCAGTTGGCAGAAATGTATTCATGTCAAATTTTGCAGCAGCTTAATCCAACAATTCAACAAAGCTGCAGAAAGTATATGGGGAGGAGGGTATGAGCTGGACATGAGTGTACAACTGGTTAAAATATTTCTAAGATGGCTGAAAAAATGTCAATAGTGACACACATTGAGAGACTCACAACCAACAGAACTGATGAAAACATTGCAGATGTGCATGTAGAGTAAAGACTCACTGTGTGTGAACTTTGATGATGTGAATATTTATTACATAGTTCAGGAAACTGAAAATTTGAAGAGATGTGACCTGATAAAACTACTTTTTTAAGCAAAAAGAAAATTTATTTCAGCTGCAAAGGACCTTGATTGTTATTAGCAATGGAAGAATTTGAGACAAAAAAAACACAAATGAATCAAGCAATGTAAAACACTTTTAAAAGTTTCTTTGACAAAAAAAAATGTATTTTTGTATACAAAAGTATATGACCAAATGTACTTAGAACAAAATGTATTGAAACAAGAAAGTGTACACAATATTTTACATATAGTCTTTTGTATATTCCTGGTAAGACCGTTCCTGGAGAATGTGTTGACTGAGTCGCAGTCGGGCAGAGTCTCTGGTTGAATCTCTTGATTCCTCCCTCTCTTCCCGGTACCAACCATATTTATATGGTCGGTACTCCACTATGCAAATTAGGTGGATCCTACCACAACACCCCCCTCCCAAGCCTTGGAATCCCTTTTGGATTTCAAACTGGCTTCCTATATGGGTTGATGATTATGGCTATTTCTTTTTGTAGATCCATTTGCATACTTCATATGCATATGTCCATCCGCTTAATTTTAATATTTTTTTTTCCGTTTTGGATTCACGTCCAATGGGTCCGTGAACTTTCGTTTCCTACCGGATCTTCTCGGTTCAGGAGTATTCTGCGGAGGTTCTACTTGAAACATATCATACATTACCTCAATGGGATCTTCCTCCTCATCCGGTATACTCTCTTCATGCTCTATAACGTAACATTTTTTTAAGTTGATTCTGGTGCCTTTTATGAGTATTCTTCGGCCCTTTAATTATGTAAATCAGGTCACCGATTCTCTTGTCCACTATGCCTCGCTCCCAGAACTCAACGTTGTTTTTGTAGCACTTGAAAAACACCTTCTCTCCGGAGGTGTATCTTTTTCTCGCTGTATACATAGTATTCTTTTTTCTCTATTTTTTCCTGGCAAAAGTTTGTCAAACACTGACTTAACCTTCCTAGCGAACATTAGTTCAGCTGGTGCCATGTTTGAGTGTGTTCTCTGGTTTGGCGTGATTCTGTATACTTGTAGGAATTGCTGAAGCGCCTTTTCCGTTGGAACTCCTGAGGCTTTCTTCAGAGCGCGCTTTAAAGTATCGACAAATCTTTCTGCGAGTCCATTGGACCTCGGATGATACGGCGGCGTCGTTATGTGGTTAATTTGATATAACTCACAAAAAATCCTTAAATTCTTCAGAAGTGAATTGTGTACCATTGTCACTCACAATACACTCTGGCACACCGAACCGTGCAAATAGTTCATGCAAGAAAGTTGTTGTGGTATTAGACGTAGGCTTTTTGCAGCGTAGTACTTCCGGCCATTTTGTAAAACTATCTACCACTATTAAGTAGTAATAATCTTCTACTGGACCAGCGAAATCAATGTGTAATCTTGTCCACGGATGATCCGTCTTGGGCCATGGTTTGTGTACTATAGGTGGTGCCTTAGCTGCTAACGCACACCCTTTACATCGATGAACCATGTTTGCGATATCCACATCCATTCCTTTCCAATATACAAAGCTTCGCATTAAGCTTTTTGTTCTATTAACCCCGGGTGACCCATATGAAAGTCCCGTAGTATTCTTTTCTGCAACTTTTTTGGTACTGCTACTCTCTCACCATATAATAAACTCCTTCACCTATTGAATAAATCTCCTGCACTTTTTGGTCATTTGCTACCATTTTGCTTTTTATTTCTAAAATGAAATCATCGCTTTCAGCTTCTTTTTTAATTTCCTTTAGTGTAACCGGTAGCTCTCTTACAATGTTGTTTACCATGCTTTTCACCTCATAATCTGCTCTGATATTTGCAATAATTGATTCTTCGAATCTTTCTTCTTGACTCGGTACGAGTCTTGATAAACTATCCGCATGAATTATATTTTTGGATGATAGGTGCTTTATGTGAAAATCATAATTGAGAAGAATGGTTCCCCATCTCAACAGACGATTTGCCGTATAAACGGGTAACCCTTTCTTTGAACCAAAAATAGTGATCAGTGGTTTATGATCCGTTTCAAGCATAAAATGTCTGCCGTGGATGTATCTGTGAAATTTTGTTATGGCAAAAATGATACTCAACGCCTCTTTTTCGATTTGTGAGTAACTTTTTCTCCTGGGAGTAAAGTTCTCGAAGCATGTGCAATTGGTTTTCTAGAACCATCTGGCATTATGTGTTGAATACACGCTCCTATCCCGTATGAACTGGCGTCACTTGCCACTACAATATCCAGTTTTGGATTGTAATGGGTTAAAAAGAGGTCGGACGTAAGCATTCTCTTTATTTCATCAAAGGCTTTCTGACATTCTACCGTCCATTCCCATGCCTTGTCTTTTTTTTAGCAGTTCATTCAACGGAGCTCTTAGATTGTACATTCCTTTAATGAACGCTTGATAATAATTTGCGAGCCCCAGAAAACTCTGTAGCATCGCCACATTAGTGGGCGTCGGCATGTCTCTAATCGCAATGGACCTTTCCGGATCTGGAAATCTGCCCTTTTTGTTGATTATGTGACCTAAATACTTAATTTCCTCCAAACCAAATTCGCACTTTGACTCTTTGACTTTAAAACCAAAGTTCTGAATCTTTTTAAATACTTCATTGAGATGCTTTCGATGTTCGTCGACGGTTTCGCTCCTTACTATGAT